GGGTTTGGAGTGTTTTCCGCGGCTGGCGCCGTCCAGCAATCAGGGCCAGAGACTGTCCCACTCCGTGGGCTGGGGGGCCGGGGGGGCCGGGGGGCAGCTCCCGGGCCGCTAATGAATCGCACTAATCAGAGAGCCATCTTGAAAATTAATGCATTCTACTGCAACTATTTAAAGAAAAAATAATTGCCGAGACTGTTCTCACTAAATTATGCTGTCTAGAAGTTGTAGCAAGAAAATTCAGTCTGATTTTTAAGACGTAATCTGGGTCCTGCAGGGTTTTCTGGTCCTCGGTGAGGAAAGGGTTTGGCGTGGAGAGGAAGGGATGGTGCCCCTTTCTTCCTGCGTCCGGGGTCCTGGGGGAGAAGGTGCCGGATCCCCAGGCTGCTCGGGAGGCCGGGGGCGGGGGAGGGGGGCGGGAGTAGGGGCTGCAAGGAGACCCCCCACCTCCTGGTCCCCTGACACAGACCCAGGTGCCCCCGCTGACCTGCAGAACATGACGGGAAGTGGCCCTCGGGGCCCAGGACAGAGGCTTGGGCCCTTGCAGTCTCCTCCCTGCCCCCGCCCCCCCACATCCCTGCCGGGACCTGGCGCCCACAGAGCTCCTGCTGCAGGCTTGCAGATGCACGGCATGGTGTGGGAGGCGTGGGCTTCTGAGACTCCCGGGGCCCTTCCTCCAGCTCCGCCCACCTTCTCCAGGGCGGGGCGGGCCTGTGGCTGGCGGAGGGTGTCGGTGAGGGGTCCCCCTGTGAGGGGTGGGCACTGTCGCCCCACTACTAAGCCGAGCCTCCAGCCCCCAACTTCCCTCCTCCCGGAATCCCCTGGGACCCCCTGGCCACGCAGGAAGGAGCAGGCCCAGGGCTGGACATGCCACAGAGAGCTCCCAGGTCCCCCCGCAGCGGCTGTGGAGGCCCCCTCGGGCCGGAGGCCCTGTGCTGTCCCGCCGGCTCGCTCCCCAGGAGCATCTGGGCATGTTCAGGCGGGGGGGGGGGGGGCGGGAGCAAAGTAAGTGTCTCCCGGGCACTCGGGGCGCCCCAGCTCGAGTTCCGGGTTCGTGCACACTTTCCCGGCCCCGGGGCAGCCAGCCCGGGCAGGTGAGCTCCAAGGGCCGCCATGCCCATCCCCCCGGTGCCCCAGCGTACCTGTCACTGGTCAGTGCACCACCCCGTCCGGGCTCCCCTGATTCCTCTGTGTCCCCAGGGCCAGCCTGTGACTGGGGTCCCGGAGGTGGGGCCCCCAGGGCACCCTTCGACCCCCAGCCCGCGGGGCCTTACCGCACCCGCAACGGGCCTGCGGCGGGCCTGGCTCAGTCTTCACGCGGCAGATCCTTCTGGGACCCTCAGGGCAGGTGGCCTGCCCCTGCCTCTGGGGGTCGGTGGGTGTGACCGTGTGTGGGGACCTGTGGATACGGGCGTACGTGTGTGTCTGTGTGATTAGCTGTGTGTGGCCTGACCCCTCTGTCACCAGCAAGATCGGGGACAGTCTGGGGACGTGTCCGTCTGGGCCAGAGGCTGCCGGAGAGCTGCCTCCCCGACCGTCCGGAAGGCCTCCCGTCCTTGGTGACTGCTTCCGAGGACGTGTCCCCAGCTCCCCCCTCCCCCCGGAGCCCCGCTGGCTCTGCCCCGGTGACTCATTCTCCGGGCGGCCGAGTAAAGCCAGTGGAGTCACGTGCGGACGGAGGGGAGGGCACGGCGGACTCCGAGGGGGCCGCGCAGCCTGCGCACAGCGAGGGCCGGGCCCGCGGCGGGCAGCCGTCCCCCCGCGTCCCCGGCCGATCGGCACGGCCTGTCCCCGTCCATCTGCCCGGGCCGGCTCAGCACGGCGTGTGCCGCCTCCGCCGCAGCGGCTGCCCGTGGACGCGCGCCAGGACGGGCTCCAGGACTCAGCGGGGCGTCCGGCGGCCCGGTTCCTCCGGTCTGGGGGCGGGCGAGCGAGGCGGGTGGGGGCACACGGAAGGTTCCACTGCGCCAGCGGTCGCCACACGCAACCATGTCCCCACGCCTGCCTCTGCCCGCCTGCGTTCCCCCTCCGTCCCCCTCGCCCGCCCCTCCCTGAGGCGTTCGCCCCGTGCTCTCCTGGGCCCCAGACCTCTGACCCCAAGGACCCTTGTCCTCGGCCACCCGAAAGTCCTCGCACGGGGAGGCCCGGAGCCCAGGAAGGAGCGGGTCGCCCTGCCCGGAGCCCGAGCCCCTGGGGTCTCCCCCGGTGCACGCTGGGGGCACGTGTGTGCGTTTGTGGATGTGTGCGGGGCCCAGCGTGTGTGCGTGTGTGTGTGTGCGTGTGCGAGGTGGGGGGTCTGGGACGGGAAGGGAGTGAGGCCCCAGCAGCCAGGCCGGCTGGGGCCCGGGCATCGGGGCTGCACTGTTGTCTCCGAGGCCCGGGCTGGACACACCTGCTCTCTCTCCACTGGGCCTGGGTGCAGGCGCTGGGGACACGGCCAGGAATATGACCCCTGGCCCTGGCCCTCCTGCAGAGCCCCTCGGGGCTGTGGCCATGGTCCCCGGCCCTCAGCCGCCGTCACTCAACACAGTCGCGCTTCGGGGACACTGTCCCCAGGCCGGGAGCTGCTCCCGCGTCTGGGCCGGAGGAGATGAAGTTGTGACGTGGGCATGAAAGGCCCTTTTGTCCCCGGGACGTGGCGGCCAGCCTCCGACCGCCCCCAGCAGGAAGTGGGCTCCGGCGGGGAGAGCCGGGCTCCGGACAAACAAAGGCGGTGTGTGCTCAGCTCCGGCCGGCAGCGCCCCCTGCAGGGCTGGCCCCCGCACACCAGGCCCCCGGCCCGGCCTGGCGGCAGGGACCGCGGCCAGGGCCTCCGAGGGTCTGCCCCTTCTGCGAGCGTGTCAGCCTGCCCGCTGCGGCCCAGGCAGCCCGGCCCTCCAGTGGTCCCACACGCGTGGCTGTGTGCACATGGGAGTGTGCATGTGTGTGGGTGTGGGGGTCATGTGTGCTGTTTCACACGGTCTGTGCATGGGGCACACGTGTGTGCCCATGTGTGCGAACCGTGTGGCTGCGGCAGGGGGAGGACGGGCCCCGTCTCCCAGCCTCAGGCCGCTAGGACCCTGTGCCCTCCCCGCTGCCTCCCCCTCCCACCCCCCACCCCCTGGACGTCTTCACCCACGTTCACCCGGCCGCCTCCCTGGCACGGCAGGGCCGGGCCCCTCCCCTCACGTCTGCTGGGTGCCGGCTCCTGGCCTCAGAGGCCTCAGGCAGCCTGGAGGCCCCCTGGCCGCACACACGTGCAGTGGCGAGCAGAGCCTGTGGGGGGTGCTCCGGCCCCCCCAGGAGCACCGCCCCACACCGCCCCCTCCGGGGGCGGGACCCCGTCCATGTCCCGGAGTCCCCCTGGCTGACCCCCCCTCTCGGGCTGCAGTGAGAAGGGACCGAGGACTGGGTGGGTGAGGCTCAAACAATGGACAGGTTTGCCTCCCGGCTCCGGAGGCTGGAAACGTGGGGCTGAGGGGTCTCCCACTGGGTGCCGGGTCGGAGCACTGTTCCTGGGTGGCAGACGGCCGATGTCCTTGCTGTGTCCTCGTGGGGCAGGGAGGGGACATGATAGGGGCTGGAAGGACACAAGTGCTCTCAGACCAGGACCCCCATGACCTCACTTACCCGGAACTGTGTCCCGTCTCCACGGGCACCCGTGGGTGGGGCTCAGGGCCTCAGCCTGGGACTCCAGGGGGACACAGGGCCGTCCACTGCAGGGCCCAGGAAGCAGCCCGTCACTGGGTGAGCAGCCGTGGGACAGCCTGCCCGCCCCTGTGGGTGTGGAGATGGCCCAGCTGGGCCAGCGGCAGGACTGGCCAGTGTGCGCACATGTCCCCCGACCCACCAGCTGCGCACCCGCGGGTCACACTGCTCACGCCAGGCCCCTGCCCCGTGGAGGTGGAGGCCCTGCTGCAGGAGGCCCCCTAGGTCTCCAGAACCGGCAGAACGGCTGGCCCCCCGGGTGTCCCCCCTCCGTCAGGCCCTCCCAGGGGGTGGCCCCAGGCCTTCCCTCCCGGCTGCCCCCCCCGCAGAGCTCCATCACCTGCCCCCTCCCCTCGGGCGAGGACGGCCGGCGTGGGCACAGAGTTGGCTCGTTGAGCACGGGGCAGACACATGGAGACATGTCTGTCCTTTGGACACCTGGACCCCAACTCTACAGTCCCCCCTTTTCCTGTGAGCCCCAGGTTTCCCGGCTCCGCAGCAGCGGGGTCCATGGGGGGGGGGCAGAGCAGGGCACTGCGTGTGGGTGTCGGCGACGTGACCTTGAGCTGAGATGCTCCCTGGGGCGCGTCAATGGGACCCGAATGCCCGGCCCTCCCTGGAGCCCCTCCTTCCACAGACCCCTCTTCCGCTCTAGTGCGGCCCTGCCATCGGGCGGGGGTGGGGTGCAGAGGCCAGCGCTCTGTCCTGGGGGAAGACGGTCCATCAGCCCCTCCCAGCAGCGTCGGGGAGGGCCCGGGAGGGAGGGGCGGGCTCTCTCCTGGGCGGCTGGCACTCCCTGGGCGGCAGGTGGCGGCCACCGGCTGTGCCCAGTCCTGTCTCCCACTCGACCCCCCGCCCCAGGTGACGAGGGCTCAGGGCCCTTGGTTTTGGGGCCCTGAGGTCGTTGCCCTGGAGCGGCATTGGGTCAACTGTGAGGCGGGGGGCGAGGGTGGGGGCGGGGTCACTGTGAGGTCCACCAGAGGGTCGGCCTGACTGCGGAGGGCGCCCCCGGGGAGGGCAGACTGTCCTGGCTGCATCCCGAGGGGCATCCTGACCGGGAGCTCCCTCCCTGGTCCCCAGGGGGTCCAGGCCAAGGACGGCACTGGGCCGTCCCTTCCAGGAAGGGGCCTGGCAGCAGCTCCCTGGGCTGTCCGCGCTGCCCTCGGTCACCATGGCCGGCAGCGGCACCGGACTCGGGCGGGAGGCTCACACAAAGCTGGGTGACCGGGGGAGGAGCGGTGACCCGGCGGCCGGGCTCTGCCGCCCCTGGGAGCCGGGCGGCCCGGACTGACCGACTGCTGTCTCCCGCCCCGCAGCCCGCATCATCAGGACCAAGCAGTGGTGCGACATGCGGCCCTGCCTGGAGGGCGAAGGCTGCGACCTGCTCATCAACCGCTCGGGCTGGACGTGCACGCAGCCCGGCGGGCGCATAAAGACCACCACGGTGCGTAGCGGGCAGGGCGGGCAGGGCGGGCCTTGTGGCGTGGCCTGTGGGGGACAGACCTCACACCAGCAGTGCCCGGGCGGGAGGAAGCTGGACGCCACCAGCCCCTCATCCTCCCAGACCCCCACACCTCCCTCCCCGAGGGGCTGCGTCCATCTGTCCCCAGCCACCCCAGCCGTCCCCAGCCGCCCCAGCCGTCCCCAGCCATCCCCAGACGTCCTATCCCATCAGATGGTCACTGTGTGGGGTTGGACAGAGCGGCCCCCCAGGCTTGCTGGACAGAAGCGAGGTCTGCGCCCCCCCGGGAAAGATCACTGATGGGCGTCCTCTGGTCTCGGGGGGAGATGTTGGAGCACCCCCCCAGCTGCCCCGCCCCACAGAGGGGCTTCAGGGGTCTGCCCCCAGGGAGAAGGGTCCTCTAAAGAGACAGGACTGGGGAGGCTCGGGGTTGACATCCAGGCCTGTCCCCCTGCCCAGGCTCTGCGTGATGGCCCTTAGGACAGAGAAAGAGACCCCAAAGGGTTGTGGGGTCCTGTCCAGGATTCCCGCCACAGGGTCCCGGGAACTAGGGGGCCTGGGCCCTTGCAGAGGGTCCGCGGGGAGCGCACAGGACAGGAGGGATTGTCCCCCGCTTCTGGGCCCAGCAGCCTCTGCGGGAGAACTCGGACAAGCAGTTGCACCATCTGGTCAAGAGACCAGGTGGGCGCGGCCACCACAGGAGAGCCCCGGAGCCCCCCGTCCCCACCTCAGGACAGGCTGTGGCGTGGGGGCCCCGGCCGAGGCTGCACCCGGGCCAGGCCACCCTCTGCCGGACCCTCGTTGGTCGGAGGGCTCGGTGTTCGTGGGGCTTTGGGTCCTCGGCACCCGGGGGTGGCCCGGGGGGCCCGCTGGGGCCCAGCGGCCATGGAGAGCGCCGAGGGCAGGGCCAGAGCCTCGCGTCTGCGCTTGTCTGTGCTCCACGTAGAGGCCAGCGATCCCGTCGCCACACCCGCTGGGTGTGCTGGCCCGCCAGCTGGATGTCTGAGGGGCGCCTGGGCCCGGGGTCCCCTCTGCGCTCTGCCGCCGCAGGGCAGGGACCTGGAGACGAGTGGACCCTGTGCCGCGTGGCCACCGCCACCCTCAGACCCGGGGGCCCCGCGAGCGCATCCGTGTGGGGTCGTCCGCAGGCCCAGGGCAGCCCCGGACCAGGAGAGCTCGCGGGGACAGGGGCCTTTGAGCGAACGCCCGGAGGAGGTGAGGCTCAGAGCAGGAGGCTCCGGATGGCCGGCCACGGTCAGGGGCTTGGGGGCGTGGCCACAGCAGCGGTCAGGCCTGCCCTCGAGGCTCAGGTGGGACCCCCGTGTGAACTGAGGCTTTGCCTCTCCACTGGCCCCAAGCCCTGCCCGGCTCCCTGCGTGCTGCACCCCAGCCCCACAGAGGTCCTGGGGCCTGGCTGCCCGCATTGGGTGGGGCAGGGGCACCCAGCCACCACGCACAGCCCCTCGGTGGGCCCAGCCCCTCCCCATGGGAACACCTCTCCGGCCCTTCCTTCGCTCCGAGCACCGGCCGAGACTGGAACCCACTCACCCCCTCGGCCTCATGGGCCTCGGGGCTCACAGCCATGGACAGTGCACCTGGGAGGGGCAGGCGACCCCGGACGGCCTGCGGTCGGTGGGCCCTGGAGCCGGGTGTCCATCTGCTGGGTCTGCCTGGCCCTGCAGCCCCCCAGCCCTCAGCTCAGAAGATCCGGCCTCTGACCGTGCTCCAGGCGCAGGACGGACACCTGCCACACCTGGGCAGGTCAGGGGGCGGTGCTCACCCTCAGGGTCCTCGACACCCCAGAGGGGACACCGCTGGCCCTGGGAGGCACGGCCCCCTCCCCCGGGCGGAGCGAGCCCGGCCGAGCTGGGCGGCCTGTCTCCCAGGAGCGGGGAGGGTGGGTCCCGCGGAGCAGCAGAGGGGGGACACAGGGGGGACCGGTGTGCTTGGTTTCTCCACGAGGACCTGCGAGGGGCCTGCGGCTCTGACGGAACCCCTGGCCCTGTGGAGGGGGGGCGGCAACCCCCTTTCAAAGCTCCCTCGAAAGGCTGGTCGAGCTCTCGGCCCAAACACCCAAACACCTCACCCCTCACCACCGGGGCAGACAGACCCGGTTTCAGACCCGATTTCAGACCCGCATCCTGACTCTCAGGCGGCAGATCAGCGCCGAGGGCTTCTCGTCGGCCGTAAATGGTTTTCTGGAGGATGGGCTGTCGGGGGCCTCGGGGTGGCTCAGCCTCCGGGCTGCCGGTTCCTTCCCCGTGGCCCGGGGCTCCGCCCAGCTCTGCCCTCCAGCCACAGCCACGCCTGCAGGGGACAGCCTCCGTCTCCACCCTGTCACCCTGGTCCACGGGGGCGGTGGCTGCCCACTCCTCTGGGCCCCCCGACTGAGCCCCTGGGGGGCAGACTCGGGGCCTCAGGGGTCCCGCTTCCCGGCCCCTCTCCCAGGGCCCCCCCAGGCGTGCATGGTAGACGGACCGGTCCCCTGTTGGACCCCGTGCGGGCCCAGACACGCGCGGATGTTCGAGTCTACCCGGCCACCAGCCACCGCTTTGCAAAGCGCAGCCGTTCACCCTCCATGGTGGTCCTGAGGTTAATGTAGCAGATCAAGGTCAGCCTCGAGGAGGAGGAGGAGGAGGAGGAAGACTCGGGGCGAGAACCTCGGAGTCCGAGGGCGGGGCCTGCGCCGAGAGGCACGTGGACCCCGGGCAGGTGCCGTGCCGGGAGGACCCGGACCCGAGTCTCTGCTGCTGGTCCAGGCTCTGGCTCCTCCCCTCTATGCCCCGTGGACCCTCGTCTGCGTCGGGCAGGACAAGCCTGGGGGGCACTGCAGGCTGAGCCCAAGGTCAAGAGCACCGTCCCCCCGGCCCCCGATGGGGGAGGCTCCCCGAGTGGGAGGAGGGAAGGAAGCCGGGTCCACACAAGGAGCGGAACCTCTTCCCGCCAGCCCAGCCCTCCTCTCCACCGAGGTCAGCGCCCGCACGTGCCGGTGCTGGCGTTCTGGAACATTCTGAGCGGTGCTCACCCCAGCACACTTGGCCACGTGAAGTGCCCTGAGCGGGAGCAGACCCCCAGATGGAAACCCATGTTCAAACTGGCTGTGAGGCCCACACTGGAGTTCCGTGCTGCGAGGGGACCCCGGTGGGGGCCAGGAGAGTTCCGGGGCGTCAGGACGGGGCTTCAGGGGAGCCCTGACTGCAGAAGCACACCTCCCAGAGCGGAGCCACTTTCTCTAAGTTAGAAAATAAACCCGACAGGAGACGAGGCAGGTCAGCGCGAGCTGGGGTCTGGAGTGATTCACGCATGCGTGTGCGCAGTCAGTGTGTCGACCGCCGAGTCCGGACGACGTGATTACACGGGTGGTTTTCTGGGGGAAATCAGCAGAAATAACTAAGGAAGGAGAAAAACGCTGCCACTCTCCAGCGGAAATTCCAGACTCAGGTTCAACGGGCGCACGCTTGGAAACGTTGACTGTAGGTGTTTTTTCCCAAAATACTGGAAAATGCGCCAGTTTTCTTGACGGACGAGTGAGGCCCAGAGGCCGTGGGCCGGGCACGATCGCCCAGCACAGCGCCCGAGAGGCCCGTGCACCTGGCAGTTTGGGGGTTTGCTCGTGAATCGGGGGGGCCCTGCCCCCTGGAATTGCCCTCTCCTGGGGCGGAGGTGTCGGGGGCCGCCGGTCGCCCGTGCCTGCAGAAAGCTGCAGCCCACCGCAGTCTGCCGTCCTTGGAAGGAACAAAACCACCGCCCCCGGCGGGTGGACACGAGAGGTCAGAGCACGCGTGAATGTTCCAGAGTCGCAGGCGAATAAAACACGACGTGTCCGAACCCGGGAGAAGTCGCAGGAGGACACCGGACTCCCTCCCAGGAACCATCAGCCGGGCCAGAGCGGTGCCCCCGGCAGACCTGGGTGCCCGCGGGAGCAGGTGGGCCCTCTGGAGCCGGGCGTCCCCCAAGACCTGAGCCCACCCACTGCACCCTGGGGCCGGCGGGCCCTCGGCTGTCCCCGTGACCGCCTACCTGTGGGCACTTCCGGCAGAGGCCACCACGTGAGTGTGCGGTTGAGCAGGTACAACCGTCACTGCTTACAGACGAGCTACGCAGGTGCGGCTCCCCGGGGGGCCCGCCAGGTGCCCCGGGAGGTGATGGCGCAGTTGAGGGAGTGGGACCCATGAGGGTCCCGGGGGGTCTGCGCGTGCGTGCAGCTTCCAGCTGCACAGCTGCAGACAGGCGGCGGCCGAGACCAGAGGCCAGCGAATCCGCCCCCCTTAGCCATCGGTGCAAATAAAGCTTTACCGGCAGGCAGCCTTGCTCGTCCACGTGCCTGTCGTTAGGGACGCGTCCACGCTGCCGTGACGGAGCCCAGTCCTGGCGGGAGAGACCCGCGGCACGGCCCCTCCCGGCACGGCCCCTCCCGGCACATGTCCGCCAGCCCCGCCGGGACCGGCGCGCGCCCACCGCGTGCACACCTGCCTCCCGCCGCCCCTGCAGCTGCGAGCACACGCCGCGGACCAGAGCCGGTGCTGGCGGGTGGCCTCCTCACTCCCGGGCGCGTCCAGCGGTTTTAGGTCAGACCGAAGTGAGCAGACAGGAGGGGAGAGGGCTCCGGGAGCAGCCGCCGCAGACGTGGGACACCCCGAAAGCCTGTGGTGAGAGGGGCCGGCCCCCACGGGGACCTTGGCAAAGCCTCACGACAAGAACCCTGGGAGGACCGAAGAGACAGAGTGCGACCTCCGTCATGTCTCAGTGGCTTCTCAGACGTCATGAATGACGTCACGTGTTTTCTCCAAGTGCCAGTCACGGTGTGCGGGAGGGCTCTGGACGGTGACCCCCCGCCCACATGTCTACCTCCTGCTGGGGAGGACGCAGTGGACCGGGCCAGGTGGCGGCTGCCTGGCCCGAGTCTGCATCCCGCCGCCCACCAGTGTCGGCGTCGCTGGAGGCCGGCACCTGGCGGAGTGGGGACCGCAAGTTCCTGGAACTCGACGTGGGGAAGGACAGCCACAAGGAGCATGACGCGAGTCCCCGTCAGGGGCGGTCGGGGCTGAAACACGGCCGGGGCCACCCGTCGGGCGCAGCAGCGGCTCTGGCGTCCTCCCGGGGCTGCCGGTGGGAAGGTGGCCTCGCCCACCTGCGTGGGAGGGGCTGGGCCGACCCATGTCCATTGGGGGGGGAGCCTGAGGGTGCACCTGCACCTCACCCTGCCCCCAGGACACTGCGGCAGTTCCAGAAAGTCCAGCCAGAGTCACCTGCGACCCAGCGTTCCTACTCCTGGGGGCATCCTGGGTGGGGCTGCTGAGAGCTGTGTCCACGCAGACACTCGCACACACGTGTCCTGAGAGCCCAGAGGGCAGCCGCTGGGGTCCAGCTGCTGGTGCGGGGCAGCCACCCCAGGGAGTGCTACGCAGCCAGGAAAAGGGGTGAAGAGCGGGCGCTTGCTGCGGGGGAGGGGCCGGAGAGCTGCGGTCCGGCGAGGGCAGCAGACACGCACAGGCCGCTCCATCCTGTGCCGGCCCGCTGCTAGGAAACCTCCGGGGGAGGTGGGGGCGGGGACGGGTGTGAGGCCTCGTTGCGGGGGGTGACAGGGCTCTGGGTGACTGTGTCGGCGGTCGCACAGCTGTGGACAGGCTGCCCGCCCCTGCGCCGACCCTTCACGGGTCGGGGTGTGTGCCGTGGGAGCCTCGTCTCCGGGACCCACGCTGCTGGGGACAGACAGACGCAGCCCTGGGCCGGCGGGCCTGGGCCGGCGAGCTCCCTCTGATCTGCAGGCGACTGGCGGACCTGGCAGGGGTGACCTCCCCATCCCCGCGTGGCTGTTGCCCGTGAGAGTGGACCCAGGAGGCGGCCTGGGGAGGGGCTTCAACCCGGAGCTTCGGGAGCCCCTGGCCCACCCGTCCCCACTGCTGCTGAGGGCCTGGGCTCCGCCGGAGAGGTCCTGACGCCGCCTCCTCCCGTCGGCTCTGTGTTCTCCGCGTCCCCTCGATCTCGTTGCCTGTGACTGGGGACAGGAGTCCGCCTGGAGCCGCAGTGGCCGCGGCCGAGGTCCCCCAGGCTGCTGGGGCAGCTGCGGCCACCAGTGTGGGCTGGAGCAGACGTCGAGGGCTGAGCTGCCCGGGGGGCCCAGCCAGGGGACACGGAGAACACAGCTGCCAGGCCGCACACGGAGCCCGAGCCGCCCCGGGCAGCGCCCCCCTGAAGTGCCGCCCGGACAGCCGGGGTCCCAGGGACAAGCGGGGCTGCGGGGGGTGGTGACCAGCCCAGCCGCGGAGCCAGAGGGGGCCTGCCAGGTGGGCCCGCGCCCGTGGCGTCCCCGTGGGGCGTGGCAGCTGAGAGGCAGGAAGACACTCTGGTCCCTGCCGGGCCCCCACCAAGGTCACGGGCAGGGCTGAGCTGCTCCGAGGATGAACCCTGAGGGGCTGGGGGCTGCTCCTGCCCGCGTCCCGGGTGTCGTGAGACCCAGCCCGGGACCCGCCTGCGGAGTCGATGGGGCCCAGCTGGAGGGCCCCCACCCACCTGCTCGGGGCCGAGTGGGGGGGTTCCTTCTCAGGCAGAGGAGCTGTGGAAGGGTGCTCTGTGAAGGGGAGGGCGGCTGTCACGTGGGAGACCTGCTAAGGGGCCGTACCTCGAAACCCCGAGAGTGAGCAGGGACTTGGCCGTGAGCCCCGGGTTCCGGGTCGGTTGGGGGAGGGGCTTATCGTGGTCGGAGGGGAGCCAGGACCTGCCCTGGATGTCCACGTCGCAGACACCCGGTGGCGGGTAACTCTTGGCGGGAAAGTGCTCGTCTTCAGTGGGCTGCGCCCCCCCCCAGACCCCGGCCCCTCCCTGGGCAGACCGAGTGTTCGCAGCCCTGCAGGCTCCCAGGGGGCCCTGCCGGGGGACCCCACGCTCACCGAGACTCGCTGTGGGACCTGAGCCGGGAGCCGGGTCCGCCCCACAGACGAGCTCACGGGCGGGAGGGCCTCGCGCAGGGGTGCCGGGCCGCCCTCCGCGGGGGCTGCCCCTCGCACGGGCCGCTCCGGGGACAAGGGGCCTGTGCGCGCCCAGGCTGCAGCGCCACCGGCACGCCCGCTGCTCGAGAGCGGAGGTGGGGCAGCGGGCGCAGGCCCACGGTGAGTCCTCGGGACCGGGCAGTGCCTTTTCCTTGAAAGCAGGGGCTGCCGGAGAAGGAACATGTGGGGGGTGGTGACTGCTGGGTTCCTAAAGCTCTCAGACCCCCTCCCCTCGCCCCCCGCACTGTGCGTGCACGTCCCGGGGGAGCCTCCTTCTGGGGCTCCCACAGCTCTGCCCGGGCCCCCAACGCCCCCGCCCCCACTCGACCTCCAGGGCCGGGTGTGGCTGTCAGGGGGTCGGGCACCTGCCATGTCATTCCCGGTCCCACTGTCCTCTGCTGGCCAGGACCGCAGCAGGGGGCACAGACGCAGAGTCCAGGAGGAACCTCGGGGAGGCTGCGCTGGCACCCCCGGGCTCAGCCGGTTCCCACTGGGGGGCGGGGGCGGGGGCTCCCGACCGGCACCAGCCCCAGTCTTTGGGACGTGAGCCCGGAGCTTTGTCCGGGCCTGGGTCAGGGTTGGGCGGCGCCTCGGTGACCCTAGTCATGTGGCCCCTGACGAGGAGGGCCAGCAGCTCCCGGAGCCAGCGGCCCAGCAGGGACACGGACGGGAGGGGGCCAGGCACGGGGCTCCGGGGGTCTGCGGCTTCCCGGCCCTCCTTCGGAAGGTACTTCCGCCGCCGCCCCAAAGCCGTGACATGGGGCCTGTCGTTCCAGACCTGACAGCTGTTAGCTGGCTGCTCCGCCGCGGTCCCCGGGCTCCGGGATGCCGGGCACCCCATAGACCAGGGACAAGCCCGCCCCCCCAGTTCCATGGGGTTCCGGGGGCACCACACACACCTCCCCCCGCTCTGTGCGGCTTGAGCGCCTGCTGTGTGTGGGGGGCGGGGGCAGCGGGGGGCCCCGTGAGGGAGACCTGTGGAGGGGACCGGACCCCCACCCCGGCCGGCCTGTGCCCTCTCATCCTCGTGTGCGAGGGGGTCCCCCCCAGGGCACGAAGGGAGGCAGGTCCCCCTCTAGTTCCATGCCCCGGAGGACGTCACCCGGCATCTGTCCAGGGCACCGCTGTGCCAGCCAGGCCAGCCCGGGGGCGTTCCCGACGAGGACCCGGCATGTCGGGGGCGCTGACCGCTCTCTCCTGTCTGTTTGCCTCTCAGGTCTCCTGACAGACGCAGCCCCCCAGGGGCCTGCGAGGGGCCGCGGCTGCCCGGAGAGGCCCCACCTTGGCGAGGCCACACCTGGGCCAGGCCGCCCCACCACGGATGCTCCCCGCTCTCGGCCGTCGGCCCGCCCTCCGACTCCCCTCGGCCCGACACGGACAGCCCACGCCCCGGGCCGCCTGCGCTGAGTCTGTCGGCTGCAGAAGGAGTCGGCCTGGGACGCAGGGGGGCCCCCGGGGCCCCGGGAGCCCAGCCTCGCCCGCCCTTCCTGGCCGGACACTGGCGGTGCCCCCCGCAGAGGACCAGGACGCGGACGCACAGGAGGAGGCCGAGGCCGGAGCGGCGAGGACAGCGCCGGCCGGGAGACGGACTCTGGGGCGCGGACGCGGCCTCTCCCTGCGCCCGGACTGTCTGAATCACTTTTATTTTCTTACCCTGTCAGTATGTACTCGATAGACCAAAGAGCAAATCTATTTTAACGTGGACGCGCCCCCAGGCCCGCGGCCCCGGGGCCGACGGGGGCGCCAGCCGGGCGGAGAGGGCGGCTGCGGCAGAGGCGCCCACCACACGGACACCGCGGCGCGCCCTGAGCCGGCCGAGCCGCCGCCGGAGGACGGCGCCGCCCTGCGGGACGGACACGGGGGCCATGGCCTCACGCGGAGCCCGCCCACCGCCGCCCCAGGCCACGGATGGCGGCCCGCCCGCCCGCCCCTCTGTACGTAGATGGACCCGACGGTACTAAACGCGCTGTTTTAACCGGTTAGACTCGCCTCCACGCCCCGTCCCCGGTAGCGGGGTGACCCAGTACTCGCCACGAGCATGTTGGGCCGGTCTCCCCGGACCGCCGCCTCATCCGACGCACCATTTAGCTCCCGAAAGCCAATTAAAGGAAACTGAAGTAACACTCGTTTGAAAGAGATCATTAAATGTATTTTGCAAAGCCTAAAGTTATATATTTAACAGTTTTTATATGTTGTATATTTGTAGAAAATCCTATTTAACAATCCACGGGGTGGCCCTGGCCGAGGCCACGTGCCCCCGGGGGCCTCGGGGGCGGCGCGGCGGGCAGGACGGGGCGGCGGGTGAGCGGAGGGCGGGGGGCGCCCGGGCAGGCCGAGTCCTGGCGCCTGGACCCTGTGCAGAGCCGGTCCCCTCGGCCTCTGTCTTGGTGGCCACTGTGTGTACAGAGCTTGGATGTCACCTCTCCCGGAGGGCCGTGTCCCCCTCCTCAGCCGTCACGTCCACAGACCCTGAGGGCAGCGGGCCGCCCCTCCCTCCGTCCCTGCCCGGACACCCCGACTGTCCCCCCCCCGGTCTCCACGGCAGGAGGTCGGGGCGCGGGTCTGGGCCTCGGCACGCAACTCGGCAGGAGCCCCGCCTCCCGAGCCCTCCCACCTGGGAGGCGGACCACCAGGCCCCACGAGGGGGCACCGCCGTGTCCCTCGCTGCCCTGGCCCTGCCCTGCCAGGCCCCTCCGTCTCCCGGAGTCCCGGGGACGCATACTACCTACGAGTCCGATTAACAGGCGTGTTATGCTAGTTCTCTGCTACTAAACAGAAGGGGGAAATTACTATATAGCCACTGTTCCCGCCACCTGTAGACTAAACATAGGACAGGAATCCATTTATTTAAGATCCGTCCCAGCGTCTGCGAGTATTTAAGTTACCTTTCAGCCACCACAGACTTCGGCATGTGTCTCGGCGTGCAGGCACCGGTGGAGGGGCGGCCCTCTGGGCAGGGCGGCGGTGGCGGCGGGGAGTCCGCCCGGGGCGCTGTCCCCGGCGGCCGGCCGGGCAGGAGGCCCGCGGAGGCCGGAGCAGCCCAGACGTCCCGGCCGGGGCGGCCGCCCCCCTCTCGCCTGCTGCTTCCGATGGGGAGTGTAGCCACCTTCGAGGGCAGAGGCCGGGAGATTTGAGATGTTACAGCCATTTCTTTTCTTGTTTTACAGTATTCGATTTTGTGTTGATTCAGCTAAATTATGAAAATAAAGGAAAAAACCCTTTGATAAGCATGGCTTCTGTTCGCTGGCCCGCAGTGCGGTGGGGAGAGGGGCTGAGGCCGGCGTGGCTGGTGGCGGCCACGGGGACAGAGGGCGGAGGTCGAGTGATGAGGGGACCCTCCTTCCCTCTTGGGCGCCAGCTAGCTGTGGGGGTATGGGGGGGGCCACAGCCACTCGGACTGAGAGGCCGAGAGACCCGGGGAGGGGGGTCCCAGCGGGAAGTGGGAGCGGGTGGATGGGAGGGGAAGTGGGCCCGGAGCACGGAGGGGCAGCGGGGAGGGAGGGCAGGGGGCACAGGGCCAGACCCCCGCTCAGCCCAGGACCTGCCTGGGCCCTGGTGATGGCTGGGGACGGCAGCCCACCCTCCCCAGGCCCATGCGTCCTGGAGCCCCCACTTCAGGCCCCGTTTGCCTGCCTGGCGCCAGGCACCCCGCCTCCCTGTCTCCCTGCGGCACCCACTCTGCGGGTGCTGCTCACTGCCCTGTGCTCGCCCCCACGGGTGGCGGCCACCGGGGGGCAGGGGACACTGCAGGACCGTTCCCAGACACTGCGTACCTACTGTGCGCGGGCCCTCTGGTGTGTCTGCCGGAGGCGTTGCTCCCGGGGGACCTGAATTTCCAGCTCTGGGCAGAGCCAGCGCTCCAGCCTGGGCCCTGTCTCCGGGTGCGTGGCTGGGAGGGCTGGACGCGGCTCTCTCTGCTGCAGGGGCGCAGGGACGGCCCCGCCCACACCGAGCACCACAACGCAGCCCCCTCTCCCGAGCCCGCCCCACCCCTGAGGTTCGGAAGGAGAGGGGGCCGCTCTCGGTCCCGGAGGGGACGTGGCTCGTGCTGAGCCCGTGGAGCGGGGAGGCGGAGGCTCACGCCCTGCAGCCGCCAGGGGGGCGACAGCGGTCTGGCGCTCCCAGACTTTGGGACCGTGGGCGCTCAGCCACCGGTCGGCTGTGGAGCGGGAGCGAGTGGGACGCCCTTCCCTTCCCATCCGGGGGTGGGGGCCGGCGCGCTCCATCCGTGAGTGACAGGGCTGTGGCCCCGTGGGGTCTGTCCAGAGTCAGGCCCTTGGACGCCAGGACGGGACCCGGACACCTGTTCAGCTCCAGGGTCCCCACTGCCGGTGGTTCTGGGACCCACCTGAGGTGTGACGCCTTACCGAGCCAGGCAGGTGGGACGGCTGGGGGGTGCCCTCACGGGAGATCTGGGCACAGGTGCCTTTCGGGCCGGCCGCATCGGCACGTGGCCTCACTGGGAGCTTGCTGGGCTGTGGAGGGCGGGGCCCGTTGGGGCCAGAAGCCCGGGTGCCCATGACCCCCGTTGGCGGTGAGCTCTGGTGGGCCCTCTGCCACCACCCTGTGGGCCCCCTTCTGCCCCAGGGCCGCAGGGAGGGGCAGATCAGGCTCGGGGCCCAGGTCCCACGAGCTCCTAGGCAGCCGCTGAGCTTCCCGAATCGCCCCCCCTTCCCCCTTCCAGGAGCAGCCAGACCGGCTGTGCGTGCTCCCAGGACGCCGACACCCGCCCAGGCTCTGAGCCTTGCGCCGCGGGTGGCCCCGGCTGTCGGCCTCTCTCCGGCCCGCCCGTCCTTCAGGGGCGCGTTGGCCGTGTCCACACTCGCTGCCGTGAACGGTGGACACGGCAGAGCCGCTAATGGAGTCGGTTTGGCCGAGTTGCCCATTTAGCCCCCCCAGTGGCCCCTCTCTGCCGCAGGCAGGCGGCGAGGCCGGGCGGCTGGACGCCATGAGTCACCGGCAGAGAATGAGCCTCTGACTTTTCACTAATTACACGTACGTTTCTGCTCCGGATTCTCAAACGCCCCGTTCGTTACAGCTGCGAGGCCCCTGCGTCACCGGGGGCTGAGCGGAGGCCACAGGCGAGGGCCGTGGGGGAAGAAGTCCGCCTCCTGGAGCGCAGGGCGGGCGGGGGGGCGGGGGGCGGGCACCCTGGGGTGCGCGTGTGGCGGGGGGCAGTGCGCACTCGGTCGCCCCATGTGCACGCACCCCCCCACCTGCTCGCTCGTCTGCCGGACTCGCTCCCTCTGGGACCGGCTGTGTGCGCAGAGGGGCCTGAAGACAGACGCGCCCCCCCCCCCGCCGCCATGCGGCCCTGAACGGTCCCCGTGGCTCCTCGCGTGGGCCCTCCTGTGTCCCTGCCTCGTGCTGACCTGGGCGCGTGGCAGAGGAAAACCCAGGCACCCTGTGCGGGCACACACCCACTACCCAGCCCCACGGGCCCCTCCTGTAGCGCCCCCGAAACACGAGTCCCACAGGCCAGAGGGTGCAGGGGGGCAGTACCCAGTGGCCTGATCGCAGGCGGCCCCGGTCACAGGGGGCTTTGCCAGCCACGGACCCCAGAGAGGATGTTCGAAAAAGGAAAAGAGAAGGTGACAAAAGGAAGGAGATTTCTAGGGAGCAGGTCACCTGGGGACGCGCCCCACTCAGTGGCCGCTGAGCTCCTCCCGGGGGTGGGGGCCCCCCGGCGCCCGGCCTGGCGCTCCCCCGGGCCCTGCCTCCCCCTCACCTCCCCGACAGACACCTGCCGCCGTTTCCGACGTCCCGAGGTCCCTGGAGGTGGGGCTCACTTCTTCCCCCACTCACCGACTGCAGACACGTGGTGGTCGTGGGACCCAGGGCCCTCGCTGTGGCCAGGCTGCCGGGTCCATGTGCTGTGTGTCTGCATGGCTGGGGGGCTGGAAGGCGGCTCCCCACGAGTGGACGAGTAGAAGCCGACTCCGGCCGGGAGAGACCCAGGCGCGGTGGGGAGGGCACGGGGGCCCCCGTTGGGCACGGGGCAGCGGGGGAGGAGAGACGTGGGGGTGTGTGGGCACACCGGGAGGGGCGCTCCCGGGGGGCCGCAGTGGGTGTGCGGGCCTGGCGCTGCGACGGGCCCGCCGTGCTGGCCGTGGTGACACGGTGGCCAGTGGCCGGGGGCACAGGTGGCGCTGCGTGCCAGGGTCTCCCTCCTCCGGTCACCTCCGGTCTGAAGGGGAGGGAGTGCCGTCCCCACTCGGTCCCAGAGTCGCCCCGTGTCCCCAGGAGGGACGCCCCAGGAAACGGGCAGCCAGCTGTGGCCGGAGCTGGGGCCCAGCGTCTTCCCGGCACAGCCCGCCCCCCTCACCCACCCACAGACGCCCAGGTGGCCTGACCAGGTGAACGCGCCCCGGCTGGTGTCTGCCGGGAGCTGAGCTCAGGACGGGACCGGCAGCCCTCCAAAAACTGAGGCGGCTCGCGGCGGCCGCGACGTGTCACCCGAAACAGCGCGTTTCCCGCCGACATTTACCAGGCTTCGAAAACGCGGGAAAGTGTGATCTCTGCTCAGTGAGAAAAAGAAACAAACCTGCAGTGTGGAAACCAGCTCCAAGTCGGCGCTCACACTGCATCAGCGACAACCTCCCTCTCGGGAGCTGCGGCGTGTGGCCGGGGCCGGGGCATCGGCGCTGACCCTCGGTGACCCCCGAGCGGGCGGCGTCCCCCTGCTGTCCCTCCCGCCCCCCCGGCTCCGGCCTCGGCTCCGTGGACGCAGCCGGGGCCCCTCCTGTGGAGGCAGTCGGTGCAGGTCTGGCCTCCTCTGTCCCCGCGGCTCCTCCTCCGGCAGCGTCGCCGTCGGGTCCCAGGAGCCCGTCCGCCCCCCACGTGCCCACCCAAAGGAGGGCCGCCCCCGGTCTGCCGTGTGTCTCCCCGGCGAGGCAAACGTGTTTGTTGCCGACGCTTAGGCGTGTGTCGAAATAATTAAAGGAGAATGTGATGTTAGTGAGTGAACAGGTAGCGAATGTCAACAGAGAAATGAAAACTATTAAAAGCGCAGAAGGGTGTTTCCAGGGATGAAAGGACGGTGCTGGGAGGACAGTCCAGGAGCTGGCCCGGCAGCCCCGGAGCAACGGGACACAGCAGAGCAGGGGATCGGCGAGCCTGCCGCACACCGGCACCCACCGTCCGGTCCGGAGCCCGCGGAGAACGTCGGTGCGAGGAAAGGTGAGCCCCGCAGACACCTGGGGAGGGCGGCAGGCAGCCCCACGGCGGCGGGGTGGGGGTGGGGGGGTCCTGGCAAGAGAAGAGAACATGGGGCAGGAGGAGGCGTCGGAAGAAGCGACAGGAAGACTCCCCAGATTTGGTGAAAATGAACACACAGACTCAGACGGGTCGCCACCCAAAACAGGGCCGGCGCAGGGAGCTGCAGCCCAGCGCGAGACAGTCCGACTTCGGAGAGGCCAGGACAGACGCAGGAGGAAGACGGCCCCACTCCGCAGAGCGGCCGCGGGGCGGCGAAACGCGAGCCCGTTAGAGAGAGCGGAGGCCAGGACAAGGAGGGGCGCACGGGACGCACGGGCCCCCCCACCCCCGACCACGGAGACGGCGGCCGGGAGGCCAGCGGGGCTGGAGCGGAGCGGTGCTCTCCCCGGAGCCAGAAGCAGAGACACTGCGCGCGGGGCAGAGCCGAGAAGGCCCACGGCCGGGCGGCCGCCGCGCAGCGTGCGGACGTGTCACGGAGACGCGAGTGAAGGAGGGCGCGCGCCGGCGCGCAGGTTCTGCGGAATGCGCGCGGCCGTGTAAACGACCCCGTGACTCCGCGTCGGTAGGTCCAAGGGGACGGAGGGTCCGTGTCTCCCCGCCCACGGGCGCGCGGGCCCAGGAGGGGCGGCGCACGCACAAACACTCCGCGGCGACGTCCCCGTGGTCTGCAGGAGTGACCGGGCCTCGGGCTGATCGCCAGCCCGCAGCACAGGCCCCGGACGCCGGCGCGGAGGAACCTGCCGGGGGGAGAGAGGCGTGGGTGGGAGGGGCGTGCCGGAAACCGCTGATGAAACCGCTGGGGTGGGGGGGGCCGAGACCAGACCCAGGCTCGGGATGGTCGAGGGGAGACGAGGCCCGTGGGGGGAGGGGGGAGGGCAAGAGCCCGGGTACCCACTACGAACAGAACAAACGCGCTGATCGGAAGCCAGGGATCCGCCGATGCGACAAAGCGGCCGGAATACCACGCGGGCTTTAAGCAGACAGAC